GCGTGTAGTTTGGTGAGTTCCTTATAGATTCTGGATATTAACCCTTTATCTGATATGTCATTTGCAACTATCTTTTCCCATTCCGTTGGTTGCCTATTAATTTTCTGGGTTGTTTCCTTGGCTGTGCAGAAGCTTTTAATCTTGATGAGGTCCCAATAATTTATTTTTGCTCTTGATTCCCTTGCTTTTGGGGATGTGTCAAGTAAGAAGTTGCTGCGGTGGAGGTCAAGGAGGTTGTTTCCTGCTTTCTCCTCTAGGGTGTTGATAGTTTCCTGTCTCACGTTCACGACCAGGTCTGTCTTTTGATTGGGCTGTTTAGGCTATTGAAATCTCACGTGAACATTGGTGTGTGGGTTTAAGTTTACCATCTTGCGATTTACTTGCTATTTGTCTTATCTAAGCCTTATTTACTTTTTCTGTCACCTTCTGCACTGATTATTATTTTTGTTTCTATTTTATCTCCTCTGTTGGCTTATTAGGAATAATTCTTGGGGGCACCTGGCTGATTCAGTTGGTGGAGCATGCGACTCTTGATCTCAGGGTTGTGACCTTGAGCCCTGCATTGGAGTAGAGATTATTTTAAAAATAAAATCTTAAAAAAAAAAAAGGAATAACTCTTTACAGTGTTTTCTTAGTGGCTGCTTTAGAAGAAGGGTTGGCAAACTTTGGCCTTTGGCCAAATCTGACCTGCTGCCTTTTTTTTTTTTTTTTTTTTAATAAATGTTGGTTTTGATTGATGGTTTATCTTCTCCTTACAAATTGCATTTCTTTTCCTCTTTGCATGCCTGTTAATTCTTAATTGAACAGCATATATTTTTCATTGTATCTGTTGGGTGCTGGATCCTTTTCCCGTCCTGTAAATTCTTGTGCTTTGTTCTGGGATGCAGTTAAGTTACTTGGTAACAGTTGGAGTTTTTTAAGTTAAGCGTTAGCTGGGACCGGAGCAGCCTTGAGTCTAGGGTTGATTTTGCTCTATTTCGGAGGCAGGCCTCTGCACATTCTCGGTCCTGGGAATTACAGAGCTTTCCCCTCTGATGTGTGAGCACAGGAGGCCTTCCTGGTTTGGCGTAAGCTATTCCTGCACCGCTGTTCAAGTATTACTTCCACTTAATTCTTTCAGCTGGTTCTTCCCCAGCCTTGGGCAGTTTTCTTGCACATGTATCCTGAGCAAAACTCAGGAAGCTGCCGGAGGGGACCCAGTGCCTGTCTCCAGAGCTCCCTCTCTGGGGAGCTCCCTTCTTGGATTCTCTGCTCTATCAGCTCTCACCACCTGGCCTTTCTGGGCTTTCGGATTCATTTCTTCAACTCAGGAAGGCGGCCGGGCTCCCCCTGGATTCCTCCATCCAGTGCCGCAGCCTGGAAAGTTCTCCAGGCAGTAAGCTGGGGGCAATCCTACTGTGCACCCATTTGCTTCCCATTTCTCGAGGATCCCCATCCTTTGTTGCTTCGTGTCCAGTGTCTTAAAAACCATCACTTGCTGTATGTTGTCCATGTTTAACTTTTCTTTCCCCAGCTAGGAGGGCAAAGCCAGCCCCATTTTGGTTGGAAATGGAAGTTCAATTATCTGGAATGTTTTTTTAAAAATCTTATTTTGGGGGGAGCCTGGGTGGCTCAGTTGGTTAAGCGGCAGCTGCCTTCGGCTCAGGTCACGATCTCAGTTTGTGGGTTTGAGCCCCACATTGGGCCCTTTGCCATCCATGCAGAGCCCGCTTCAGATCCTCTGCCCCCCTTTCTCTCTGCCCTTCCCCTCTTTGTTCTCTCTCTCTCTCTCTCAAAAATAAATAAATAAATAAATAAATAAATGTTTAAAAAGATAAATAAAAACCTTATTTCTTCTGGCTCTTCTCAAGAGGGTGGGTTTCATACAGGTGGTTCCACCATAGCCAGAAGCAAAAGTGATCTTTTAATTTTAAGTGTCTATTTATTTTGAGAGAGAGAGGGAGGGAGAGGGAGAGCACGAGTGAGAAGGGGAGGGGCAGAGAGAGGGAGAGAGAATCCCAAGCAGGCTCCATGCTTGTCAGCACTGAGCCCAATGTGGGGCTTGAACCCATGAACTGTGGGATCATGACCTGAGCCAAAACCAAGACTTTACAGTTAGCTGACTGAGCTGCCCAGGCACCAGGAAAGTGATCTTCTCTTTAGTCAGGAAGGTTTTTTTCCTTTCCCAGGGGAAATGCCCTTCCTTTTGCCTAGAAAGAAAGAAAGAAAGAAAGAAAGAAAGAAAGAAAGAAAGAGAGAAAGAAAGAAAGAAAGAAAGGAAGGAAGGAGAGAAAGGAAAGAAAGAAAAGAAAGAAAGAAAAGAACCCCCTTTCATTGCTGCTTCCTCTGCAAACTGTCTCACTCACTTTATAGACTTTTAGAAAACAAAAGCTAGGAAGCCTTGCATCTACTCTTTTCTTTTTTTTTTTTTTTATAAATATTTTTATTTATTTCTAGGAGAGAGAGAGAGACAGCGTGAACAGGGGAGGGTCAGAGAGAGAGGGAGACACAGACTCTGAAATAGGCTCCAGGCTCTGAGCTGGCAGCCAGCACAGAGCCCGACGCAGGGCTCGAACCCACAAACAGCAAGATCATGACCTAAGCGAAAGTCGGACGCTTAACCGACTAAGCCACCCAGGCGCCCCGCATCTACTCTTTTCTGATTTGCTCTCTAGTTCCCTTAAAGAAAAAAATACATAGCCATCCGCCTACTAAATGGGGGTGGGGAGAGAAGGGAGGTGAAGAATAAATACATCATAGATTTATCTCTTGGGTGTTTTCTCCCGTCCAAGTACTAATCAGGCCCGACCCTGCTTAGCTTCCGAGATCAGACGAGATCGGGCGCGTTCAGGGTGGTATGGCCGTAGACTCTTGGGTGTTTTCTAACCAAACATTTCTTCTGCTTCCTTTACCTGCTTCCTCCTCAAGCCAAGCAAATTAGGCCAGATTGTGCCTTCCCATTATTCCATCCACTGGTCTGCGGGGTCTGACTATGGGCCACACGCAGGAAGAGGAGGCACAGCTGGGACCTTCAGAGCCTCGGCTCATTAGACCAACTGGGTTCAAACCCCAGCGAGGTGTTTTCACTTAGGGGCTCGTGTGTGATTTGGGCGAGTGACTTCACCTAAGCCTCAGTTTCCTCATCTGTGCAGCTCGTTCCCAACGGCACCTCCTGAGGGGTCTCTGTGGGCATTGGGTTTCCGAGTCTGAAAAGCAGTTTTGTGTTTCCAAAAATTCAGAGATTAAGAAATGGGCCTCAAAGACAGTTTCTGTGCAACCTCCCCCCCAACTCTAATGCATCTCTCCTTCTTTCTGTCTCCTGGCTCTCTTTATCTGACTTCTGCACGCATTTTCTCTGTCCACGTTGGGACTTGGACGTTGAGACAACGTGGCTCAGGGCTGTGCACATCTGCAGAGTCAGGGTGGACCCCCCTCCAAAATTCAGCTTCAACGTCAAGATGGGTGATGTTGCACTCTCACATAATGAGGCTTTCTGGGGAGCGCAGGGTGTGCCTCCTAAACTGGCCCCAAAATGGCTGAGAGAACCATAGGGGAGAGACATACTTGGGCTTTTATGGTGGGTAGTTGGTGGAGCTGGAGCGAGGGCAAGGGCTGGTATGGTTTGAACTTCTGGCGGGCACCAAAGGCAGAGAACCTCCAGGCCTTTCCGTCAGTTTGCCCAGTGTGCAGCAGCAGGGTGTGTGTGTGTGTGTGTTGGGGGGGGGGGTGCTGAGGCTTACAAGCGGTGAGTCCCACGTCGAAAACGAGTCATGCTCTATTAACACTCACGGGTTGGAGTCTGTCATCAGTCTGCTGTGCAGACATGTCACACGTGGAGCCTTAACAGTTGTCTCTCATGTGAGACATTGTCCCAGCTGTGCGGCGGGGCGGAGGGGAGCGGGGACTTACGTATCATTTCTACGTCACAACCCAGACATCTACCATTTTTAGTGGATTGTCTACAAATGATGCCCTCATGCTTTTTAACTGCAAGGCTGCGCAAAGCAGAAACGGAAACTCACACCCGGCTCGCACGGTGCCCCGACGGCCAGCCCGGCTCCGGATTTCCCCACGTCTCCGGGTTTTCCGCGCCTTGCAGCCGTGTGAGCCCGGCTCCTCTTCCTAGCTGCTGCAGAACGGCTTTGGGGCCCCTTCCTGCGCGACAAATCTGTCTTCTCTATCAGATCCTTCCTCTTCCCTGGGACAATAGGCTTCAGTGATGTGACCAAGTTGCCGGGTTAGGGGAGAGGGGATGCTTAATTATCAAGAGGGAGAGAAAGTGAAAGAAGTATTAAAAAAAAAAAGTTACATGTTTATCTCCCATCAAAGGCGAGTTCCTCTCCTATTCCATTTAAAATAAGACTTTAAGGAGCACCGGGCTAGTTCAATTGGTGGAACATGAGACTCTTGATCTCAGGGTTGTGAGTTTGAGCCCCACGTTGGCTGTGAAGATTACTTAAGAATAAAATCTTGGGGTGGGGACCGGGTGGCTCTGTTGGTTGAGCCTACGACTTCAGCTCACGTCATGATCTTACGGTTCGTGAGTTCAAGCCCTGCATCAGGGTTGCTGCTGTTGGCAAAGACCACTTCAGATCCTTGTCCCCTGCCCCATCCCCCCTACCCCCGGGCTCGTGCTCTCCCTCAAAAATAAACATTAAAAAAAAATAAAATAAAATCTTCGGGTGCCTGGATGGCTCAATCAGTTGAGTGCCCCATTCTTGATTTGGACTCAGGTCATGATCCCAGGGTTGTGGGATTGAGCCCTGTGTTGGGCTCCTTGCTGAGTGTGGAGCCTGCCTGAGATTCTCTCTCTCTCTCTCTCTCTATCTCTCTCTCTCCCCCCTCCCTCTCTCCCCCTCCCTCTCTCCCCCTTCCTTGCTTTCGTACTCTCTCTCCCTAGCTCTCTAAAAAAATAAAAATAAAAATATTGAAAATAAAATAAAATAACACTTTAAAATGCTCTTTGTTTTCTGCCTTTGTCAATTCTCCGTGCTAATTTTTATTTTGTTTTTGTTGTTCAGGTTTTACTGCTGCATATCCAACACAAGCCTCCATTCCTTTTAAAAAACAGATTTCAGCACTTCCAGAATCAGAAAAAAAGGGATTCAATAGTCAAGCCCAAAGATTTTATTATAAAAAGGTAATGACATCGTCTTAGAGACTATACTTTCAGTCTGGGTTTGAGCTCCGGGTACGCAGGAGTCGGGCTGGTGCGGTTGTCCTGTGACCAGTAGAGGGCAGTGTCACCCAAGGAGCCAACAGCCTCTCTCTTGTGCAAGAATTTTAAGAATGAGTTGGGAAGTTGTTAGCTTCAGGGAGAACAATGGCATCTGGACTCATGGTGCCATATTGTACCTCAAACATTTTTTAAAAGAAGAAATGTATTTTAAAACTTATTATAAAAGTATAAAATTCAAAAATTCCAGGCATATGAAGTAAAGGGTAAAAATTCTTTTCCCTCCCTCTGGCCCTGTTCACTCTTTATGGCAGGATAGGAAATAACAACGCTTTCTTCAAATAACATTAAAGGAAAAACAAAAGAGCTGAATAAATTTAAAATCACACTTGTGATAAAGACCTCCCTCTTTTTAAAACCTTCCTTTAACAATGTGTTATTTCTGTTCCTGTACTGTTCTGTTCCTCCCTCCCCCCTTTCTACACATATCTGTGTCTCTTTATCCCTTTGATCTGGAAAATTCTGCATGGCTCCTCTTGGGCCCTCAAGTAGCTTGGGATTTCATTAGCTAAAGGCTCAGGAGTCCGACCTTCTGGTCTCTCACCAGCAGGGGGCTGAAGCACCTCACCAACGTCCTTAGTCTTTAAAATCTTCGTTCCTTCATTCATTTAACCAAGATCTTTAGAATAACGTTCTTTTGAAGGAGTCAACATCTCAGTTACCTTTTGCCGCATTCTAAAAATGTTTTTGATCCTGCTACCTTGCCAATATGGCGGAGACGGAAGGAGAAGATGGCAGTTCTGAAGGCAGGTGGGTCAGGAAGGACCTGGGGCCCTCAGCAAGCCCCTTTGCCCCTCGGCCTGTTCCTGCTTCATAAACAAGAAGGCTGAACGAGAGGACGCTACATTCCTTTCACTTCTAACATTTTAGGATTCTAAGAAAGCGAATAATAAAGGATATAGTGTGTGTGTGTGTGTGTGTGTGTGTGTGTGTGTATAGGTTTGCGTGTGTGTGTGCGCGCGCACACACACACACATTTTTAATTGCTGGAAGGTTCACCTCAGAGAAGTTAAATAAGATATTTGCTCAGGACTTTTCTCTCTTCTCCATCTAGTCTCTGTGTCTGTGTTTTAACTGTCCACCTGTCTCTGTCCCTTCTGTTTGGGGTCCCATTTGTCAAGTCAGTAATAATAGGCTGTCCATTCTCTAGAATACTTGCAGTCCAGACTCCAATAAAAATAGGAGCAGCCACCATTTACTGATCCCTTCTAGGTGTGAAATCACTTTTAGACCATGTCCCTAATCCTCAAGAACAATGCCAAAAGGAAAGGTTCATTATCTTAATTTAACAGGAGAGGAAATCGAGGCTTAGGGGAGTTAAATGACCCACCCAAGGTCATGCAGCTCACGGCTTGGCACGGAAGAGGCCCTACATAAATATTTGCTGAATCAACATGGAGAGAATTAGACCTCAAACCCACGTCTAGTTCACTCCAAAGCCTGTTCTTTCCACACGCTACCACACCTTTTGTGGCCTGCAAAGCCATGCATTTGAGTTATGAAAGTCAGCAGGTATGTTTCTGAAAAGGCCTTAGCCAGACCGGCCCCAGCTAAGTGGGGAGTCTGAAGACTCCCATCCAGGAACTGAAGGGGCCAGCACTTCGAGTTAACATTCAGTCCGCTATTGCTTTTCAGAAACGTTTCTACTGAAGGAATGAAGAGGGGAACCAGCCAGAAGCAACCTCAAATACAGAAAGAAATAGCTCAGAAATCTGATTCATGCTTCTCAGATGTAGTCACGTTGGTTTGACAAAGTGGGAACTTTCAGCTGAGTATTTGAAAGCCTTCTGTATATAAGTAGGGAATTTTGTGGCAAGAGCATGGGATCCGTAAATCAGGTTCCCTGTGTTCTGCCCTGTTAAGGAGATGTGTGCCTTTAGACTAGTCACTTGACCTCTCTGGGCTTCAGTTTCCTCATCCGAAACACAGACAAGGTGGACGATATAATTTTGTCGCTTCTTCAAGCTATAAAAACCGAAAAAGATGTTTCTCGTTCCATGCCCATTATTCTCATTTTTCTCGAGGGCAATGGACATGGACAAGCGAAGGATCTTGTTGAGCATCACCCAATAACTCAGTGAGGCAAGACAAATTAAAAACAGATTTTAAAACTCTGATGTTTCACCGCCCTTCTTAGGGCATTAATCGTCCACACCCTGTGCCTGATCTCATAACTTGGTTGTATCCTCACATTAGTTCCGTGACCCATTTAGCACGTCCTCGACACAGCGAACCGGTGCCTTGTGAAATGGGCACTTCCCTTATCCGTCTAACTTTGTGGGGAAACGCTGCCCAGTGCCTATGCTCTGCCATCGGTCCTTCATGGAGCGCGATGTGGGCACTGGCAGTTTAGACTGCTGGAAGTGAAGTCGGCCTCCCCACACATTTGTACGATGACTTTCCGACGTGCAGGCGACTCTGTGTGCATGAAGAGACATGCCCGATCTGGGGCAGAGCGTAGCCCAGGAGCAATGGACGTTTTCTTCCTCCACCTCCCTGTTTCTGTCTCTGTTTCCCTCTAGATGCTGGTCACTGCTTTCCAGGCCGCGTTGCACTTATACTATCTTTGTGTCATCTCAAAAGCAAGGATGTTATGATAGCCAGGCCCATGATTCTAAAGCCAGCTTATCCCTTCCAGGCTCAAATCCATGAATGCCAGGAACCTATGGGCATTGTATCCTCTAGAAAGGCTCAATTTAAAAACACATGTTATTTTTATATAGAGCTTACCACCCTCCCAAATGGTAAGCAGGCCCGTGTTTCATTTGTGTGAAATTGTAGAAAGTTAATACTGTTTCACTTCTTAACTTGACACGAAGCACTGGATCGGGGTTATTTTACATGTCAGGGATATTCATTCATTCATTCATTCATTCATTCATTCATTCAATTAGAAAGAGAGCGAGCGAGCAAGCTGGGGAGAGGGGCAGAGGGAGAGAGAGAGGATGTTAACCAGGCTCTACACTCAGCACAGAGCCCCGCACGAGGCTCGATCCCACAACCCTGGGATGATGACCTGAGCCGAATTCAAGGTCAGGCTCTGCCTGGCCTTTCTGCTCTGGGAGCCCAACTCCTCCGGGTCAGTTACCAACACGCCTCCCCATGGGGTCTGCGGTATCCGTTCCTGGCAGTAACAACTTGGCAGGCACCGACCGCGTGCCAGGCCCCCCTCGAAGACTTTTGCATTTATTAATCCATTAAATCCCCATAATCAGCCTGTGAGCTGAGTCCCATCGTTATCCCTGCTTTTCAGATAACGACCCTGGGACAAAAAGTGGGTTGAGTAACTTGCACGGCCGGGGTCAGGCAGAGCAAGGACACACGAGGGCGGCAGCTCCTGGTTCCCAGCCACTGTTCCCCGCGCCACCCCGGGATGGAAGCAGGGACACCTCTTCTGAGCTCTGACAGCCACTCTCATCCTACTTTCTGCTTCACCTGAAGGCAGTGGGTGTGTGCGTCTCACCTTCACTTGTCCGGAAACTCCTGGGGTCGTCACTGTCCTCTCTTGACCCCAACAGCCCCTCAAAAGTGCATGGAGTGAATGAACCCCACTACAGTCTATGCTTCCCTTGTTGGGTCCCGGAACGCACCCTGTCTGGTTTGCACTGTCCTGCTGCGGCCTCTCCATCCCATTCCCAGAGCGTGTGAGCTGCTCACAGGTCGTGCTCTGGCCTTCCTCGCACCTTAGCACAGGCCCTGGTCCATGGTAGTTTGTTTTTGTTTTTTAACGGTTATTTCTTTTTTGAGAGACGGAGACAGACAGAGCACGAGCAGGGGAAGGGGCAGAGAGAGAGGGAGACACAGAATAGTAAGCAGGCTCCAGGCTCCAAGCTGTCAGCACAGAGCCCGATGTGTGGCTCGAACCCATGAACTCCAAGATCATGACCTGAGCCAAAGTCGTACGCTTAACTGACTGAGCCACCCAGGGCACCCCCCCCAACAGACACTTTTAAGCCCCTCATCAGACCCCTAGTTTTCATTCATCTTGTGCACGCCTGAGAAACACCGGTTCCCCACCCCCAAGAGAGACCAAATCAAGGCCTAACATCTTAGAAGAGTCAAAGGGAGCCCTAGTGTGGCCTTTAGCCAATGATCCAACAGAGACCACGGTTTGTAAGCCAAGAAGCAATTTGATGAACCATTGATTCGAAAGTATTAATTGGACAGAATTTATGAAATCAGGGCTGGAAAACTCGGGCTGTGTAACTGGCTGCAAGCTGTGGGTCTCCAAGCTTCCTATAACCCATGGACATGTCTGGAGTGAGGGGGTACACGGTCTGCTCCCTGTGTCCCCTCCTCATGACCTCCATAACCTATCCCAGGGTCAAGCAAATGGAGATCTTTGTCCCACCCCCGCAGAGGCTGCCTTCTGGGACTTTAATCCTTCTAAAGGGCTCTCAAAGTGCCTGTCAGCCAAACGTCCCCCAGATGTGTGCTGGGTGGAGGGAGAGGAGCACACGAGCCAGTCATCTCTTGCTGGATCTCGCTCTCCAGGTCTCTAACCTCCATGGGAAGGTTTGGCTCCTGGCGGCTGGGTGGAAGTGTCGGCGGTGCAAGGGTAGAAATGAGAACAGGGGTGGCCACATACCGGCTCTCACCCCTCTGTGCATATTTAATCCTCCACTTTGGGGCGGGCCCGGGAAACAGCACGTATGGTGTCCACTTAGTTCTTTCCGTGCTCGACACGCAGTAGAGCTGAGGTCAATGGTTCTCTTCCCTTCCCCCTTTCCACCCCCATTTTTTGCTTTGCTTAGTTTTGCCTTCTGGGGTGGTCTTGGCCAAGAAACCAAGGTCGGCTAAGTTCACCCCCGTTGCAATCTGGGTTCTTGTTTCTGGGATCTGCTCTGAGAAGCCTCGAGTCACCAAAGCCACGGAAGGTTAGTCATGTGAGCTGTTATCCCAGAGGTGAGAGGTCTGGACTTTTACTGCCCTCCCAGAGAGCCATTTGCCACGTCCAGCAGTTGCCGGAGAAGGCCCGAAGGCTCTGCGTTTTTCAGGTTTTCTTCTAGGAGCTTAGAAACCTCCCCAGGTGTGGTGTGAAGGTCATGGTGAGCTGAGAGGCCAGCTCTCCCCTCCACAAAGGGAAGTTCCGATTAACAACATTTGCCAATTTCTATGGTGTGAATACTCCCACCCTGGGTGACTGTCAAGCTCCCGCTGGCAAAATCTCTGACATTCTAACAGTCCCCCTCTTGGGCTGCCCTGGGCCAGCTCCAGCATACCGCTGCCTGGACATTCCTTCAGAACAAACAGGCAGACTCTCTCCCTCGCGGCTGAGAGGTGACAGCCCTCTTCCTATTTGGCCTGGACTGAAACCAATTTGCAACACAGCAGAATTAAAACATGATCTGGAAGCACGCCTGGGTGGCTCCGTTGGTTAAGTGTCCAGCTTCGGCTCAGGTCATGATCTCACGGTTCGTGGTTTCGAGCCCCACGTCAGGCTCAGTGCTGACACCTCAGAGCCTGGAGCCTGTCTTTGGATTCTGTGTCTCCCTCTCTCTCTGACCCTCCCCTGCTCACACTGTCTCTACCTCTCTCTCAAAAATAAATAAAACATTTAAAAAATAAATAAATAAATCATGATCTGGGTCCAGCAGGGTTGCCAGATTGAGCAAATAAAAACACAGGATTTCTAGTTAATTTAGAATTTCAGATAAATGGCAAACAGCTGTTTGAACATAAGTATGTCCCCCCACATTGCACGGAACATACTTACACTAAGATCATTTTCCGTTATCTGAAATTCAAACTTAACTGGGCACAGTGGGACGGAGAGCTTTTATCAGGCAACTCTAGCTCCTCAGACACAGGCAGATGCCCAGGCGTGTGAAGGTGTCGAGTGTGGCAGTAAACTACTGGCTATAGGTGCGCGCCTTCCTTGTTCACTGTTCAAACATGGAAGAGTCATGGGTTCATGTCTTGCTTCTGCTTTCCCTTGACTTAGGGGCTCTCCAAGCTAAGAGGCACCCAAAGAAAGGCATTTTAGTCCGATGTCTTTGATTTGAAAATAAGGAAACTGAGGCCCAGAGAGGTAACTCGCTCAAGGTCACTTAGCGAGGAGCAGCACCGAGACTGGAATTTTTGGATTCAAAACTCCATGGGATTTTTTTCCCCTTCTATCCTATATCTTCTCATTTGAAAGTTAGTTTGGGTTAGTGCTTAAGGGTAGTAGACTCTGTATGTTGGGTGGAGGTGGGCAAAATGGGTGAAGGGAGTCAGAAGGTACAAACTTCCAGCTATAAAATAAATAAGTCACGGGCATGTATTGTAGAGCATGACAGCTACCATTAATAACACCGTATCGCATGTTTGGAAGTTGCTAAGAGAGTAGATCTTAAAAGCTCTTATCACACACACACACACAAAAGAATTCTGTCACTGTGTGTGGTGACAGATGTTTACTGGACTTACTGTGGTGGCCACTGTCCAATGTATAAAAATATAGAATCATTATACCGTATACATGAAACTAATATAATGTTATGTGTCAGTTATCCCTAAATTAATAAAAAAAAGAATTGACTTTGTACTAGAACCTCTTGGGTTGAAACTCTGGCTCTGATGATTACTAGTCATGTGACCTTGGGCCTCATCTCTTTTGGTCCTGACCTTCTGTCTTTAAAAAAGATGTTTTTTAAAATGTTCATTATTTGGAGAGAGACAGCACGAGTGGGGGAGGGGCAGAGAAAGAGCAAGACAGAATCTGAAACTCCAGGCTCCAGGTTCTGAGCTGTCAGCACAGAGCCCAACACAGGGCTTGAACTCACAAACCACAAGATCATGACTTGAGCCAAAGTCGGACGCTTAACTGACCGAGCCACCCAGACACCCCTGTCCTTCTGTCTTTAAAATGGGGATTAAATGAGTTACTGACCATAAATGGTGGCTCAGGTGGTCAAGCATCTGAGTCTCGATCTCAGGGTCGTGAGTTCAAATCCCGCATTGGGCTCCATGCTGGGTGTGAGGCCTACTTAAAAAAAAATAATAATAAAGTACTCAGGGGCTCCTGCGTGGCTCAGTTGGTTTAAGTGTCTGACTCTTGATTTCTGCTCAGGTCATGATCTCACAGTCATGAGATTGAACCCCTCATTGGACTCTATGGGGTAGAGCCTGCTTGGGATTCTCTCTCTCCCTCTCTCTTTGCCTCTCCCTCACTTTCTCTCTCTCTCTCATAAACTTAAAAAAAAATGCTCAGAACAATGCCTAGCACACAGTGAGTGGCCACTCAATAAATAAATGCTAACCCTACAAATAGCCCCCTAGAAAAATCTCTTCCTTGTTACCAGCAGCTCCTCGAATCTTCTCCCCCATGCAGGGCGCAGCCGATGGCGCTGGCGCACTTGGTCTTGGGGCACGTCTCATGGGCTGCCCCATTCTCCCTGGTGACCAGCCCCCCTGTACCCGAGGTCTTCATCACCTACAAAGTGGGAATCGGTGCCCCTTCACCCACCTGCTTTGAGCAAGGCTCAGACGATTCCCCGCATTTAAAATTCAGCACAGAAGAACCTATTAATCCCACTGACTGATGGCCCTATCCCAAATATTAAACCTTAATCACACACCGCTCAGGCTGGACTGGAAAGTCCTGGAAAGCCCTGGAGGCAGCTTAAGCTTTCTTTCTGCCCTGAGGAGAGTCGTAGGGATGGTGGAGACAGGATGAGCCTAGCAGACAGAGGTTGGAGAGAGCAATTCTGCAGTCAGGCTGCCCGGATTTAAATCTGGGCTTCACCATTTACTAAATGTGGACCCGATGTCTCTGGGCCTCCCTTTCCTTAAAATGGACTTGATAACACCCCCACTGCAAAGGGTTTGTGTCCATCATGCCCCTAGGATTGAATTCAGGTACTGCCGTTTGTAGCAGTGAGATGTTGGGCAAATGCATCGCCATGTGCCTCAGTGTCTCCATCTGTAAAATGGGGACAATAATCCCTTTCTTGCTGGAGGATTAAACGAAGCGAGCTTTGAAAAGCTTGTGACATCAAGTAGGCACCCAGTAAACTCTCAAGACAATGGAATGTCCTTTTCATTTCACACCACCTGCTTGGCCAGCTCCTGTCGGCAGATACCCCCCCTGCTAACTTGTGTGGGAAATGAGATGAAAGCCCCATTAGCTGCAAAAGCAGAAATGAGCTTAGAAATCAAGCTTTTGTTTATCTCTCTCTCTCATACCTGCATCACTTAGCATGTGAGCCTCAATGAGCCTGCCTCCTTTTGTTTGAGAATTACAAATGGACTTGTTTGGGATGGTTGTTTTTGTTTCATTTTGCTCTATAAACAGAAACACTCCCTGATTTCTCTTCTGAAAGGCTGAGGAGGAAGCTGAGTCAGGTGGGTGCGGTTAACGTGACATTGGTCATCGGTCCCTCGCCTTGGGTTTGGCGGGACCAATCAGCACACACTGACTCACGCATCAGCCGCACTTAGCATCCTATCGTGTGCTCGCTTCTCTAATGGCACAACAAAACACCAGCATTCTTCTGGAGTGCAGGGCAGCATGGTGGAGAGAGAGCCACGGCTGTGGGGGTCCCAGACCCGGGTTGGTCACTGAGACAGTGCCTGGGCAGGCTAAGGTGTGGGGGAGCCAAGCTGTCACCTGGGAAGTGGCGGTGCCCATCCCTGAGGGATTACACTGAGCCTTAGCATAGATGTGATGGGTGTAAAGCTTCCAGAAAAACACAGTGCAAATGAATGTATCCCAATGACACCATGTTCTCTTCCTTTCAGGATAATATCCCAGGTCCTGGGTTCTACAATGTCATTCACCAGTCTCCGGTGTTCAACAGTGTCTCACTGTCGAAGAAAGGGACATGCACTTTTCCCTCTACGGTGAGAACCCTTTCCTTGAGTAAGGCCATTAGCGGATCGGTAATTTCCTTTGCTCATTGCGCAAACACGTATTGGTCATCTGGTCCCTTCTCTCCAAATGCCGTGGTTCTAATTAAGAGAGTAACCGCCGCCTCAGACGTCATGCAGGTAAATTAGAGCCTGTGTCTTTAAGTAATTTCCCCCCACTGCCAGACATTGCCGGAGTGGGAAGAGCGGCCAGAGGGATGCTCAGGACCTGATCATGCACAGTCAATGTTGTCGCCATGGAGCAGACTGAGCAGATGTTTTCCTGAGATTTTCAGGCTCCAGGAAAAAGATCTCACCCTAATATGAGGTTTTACACTGCTCGGTCTCATTGGGTTATTCAAATTATTGAGAAATCTGATGGGAGCAAAAAGAAAGCAGGCAGCAGACCTGAAATGTAGCGCTCTCCCTCCCTCGCTATTTCCCTTCTTTGCGAAGTGAGGGTGTCTATCTTTGTGGATGCTTCTAAGAATCACGGAATTCTATGAAGTGCTGATGTCCCTGACCAGACTCGGGCAGGATTTTCTTGTTCTTTATTTGAATATTTGTAAATTGGCAAGAATAGATACAGCAGGGGAAAAGGGTCAAACTAGGCTAAGACTGGCTGAGGTAGGAAAGTGGAAAAGAAACAACCCCAAACTAGCATCAAAAAAACATGTATGCGGACTGTCCCTTTAAAAATTATATCTTGGGGTGCCTGGGTGGCTTAGTTGGTTAAGCGTCCGACTTTCGCTCAGGTCATGATCTCGCAGTTCGTGGGTTCAAGCCCCGTGTTGGGCTCTGTGCTGACTGCCAGCTCAGAGCCTGGAGCCTATTTCAGAGTCTGTGTCTCCCTCTCTCTTTGACCCTCCCCTGCTCACGCCATCTCTCTCTCTCTCTCTCTCTCCTAGAAATAAAAATATTTTTTAAAAAATTATATCTCAGGGCACCTGGGTGGCTTAGTCGGTTAAGCATCTGACTTTGGCTCAGGTCATGATATCATGGCTTGTGAGTACGAGCCCATGTCATGCTCTGTGCTGAGCTCAGAGCCTGGAGCCTGCTTCGGATTCCGTGTCTCCCTCTCTCTCTGCCTCTCTCCCACTGGCTCTGGCTCTCTCTCAAAAAGTAAGTAAACACATTTAAAAAATTATATCTCAAGGAGCACGTGGGTGGCTCCATTGGTTAAGCGTCCGACTTTGGCTCAGGTCATGATCTCATGGTTTCGGGGGGTTCAAGCCCCGTGTCTGGCTCTGTGCTGACAGCTCAGAGCCTGGAGCCAGCTTTGGATTCTATCTCTCCTTCTCTCTCTCTCTCTCAAAAATAAACATTAAACATTTTTTAAAGTAAATTATCTCTTACAAAGATGTATTATAATCTGACATTGGAACTGATTAAAAAAAAGAAAAACAAAACACACCACACAAAGGATCCATTTAAGACACACCGAATGCAGCCACTTGCTGGAATTTGAGTTTGGCAGAGCTGAATACTCAGGGAGCGGGCTGACTTTGGAGCTAGCTCCCCATCAGCAAAGACCTTGAAGTCCCACCTCTCCCCATGAGCTTACAGAGCCACCACGCCCCCACCTCACTTTCTGCCCTGCACATAAAGAGACCTGAAAGCTATGCCACGGAAATGCCATCTCATGAGGCTCTGGCACAGGAGACTCGACTTAAGACCTAAATCCTGACTCAGCTGTGGATTCTCGATGTGGCCTCAAGCACGCCACCCTTCCGTGTCCCAGTTGCCTCATAAAAGTGGAGACTCCCTGGAGGCTCAGGGCAAATTGCAATGAGCAAAATACTCTTTGAAACTGCGGAGGATTGTAAACATGTCAGCTATTATGAGTGTTACCACCTGAGTCACAAGCAATCGCTCCCGCAACACCTAGGTTTTCCCTCTGTGAAATTCTTGGCCGTTCAGTGGCACTGCCCTTTCCTGCTTGGTGCCAAAGAAGGGACTGAATTAGAGCATGCGAGCAATTCCCGGCTAGGCTTGGCGTGCGGTAACTTTCCGAATGACGAGGCCAGGCCATGTGGAGGAGAAGTGGCCCAAGGGAAGGTCCGAGAGTTACAGAATCGAATCATGCCTGTCAGGTCTTTATAACATACAGACGGAACCCAAAAAGGAGGTGGTGCCAGCTTCTCCTTCCCGCTTTGATGGATATGTGGATTTCTTTTTTATAGACATTTGGGTTCCTGTAAGCAGCCCACAGAGGCTGGTGGCGATCTGTTAGGAGATCCCACATGGTACCCGGCTCCTCTTTGCATGGAATGAGAATTTCATGCCTTCCCCACTGCCCCCCATGACTTTCACATTTGGCACCTCCTCCTTTTCCGGATCTGAAGACTCAGAGGGAATTAAAAGTAGTCGTCAGAGAAAGATCTGCTTGACTGACACTGGTCTGGCAGGAGGGGCGTGATTGTAGGTGAGGCTGACCACAACACTCTGTGGGCCTATAAATTCCAGAAACTTCCTGATGAGTGCTGGAACCACTACACCGACCTTTGGAGAGGACCTGTCATCTCTCTAAGTCCAGATCATTTAGAGAGCTTCAGTAGTGTATTCTAAACCCTTCTTCCAGAATTATTCATGAGACTTAGGAGTGAGAGGAGGCTGGTGGGAGGAGACTTTCTGTATTTGCATGGCACAGGAGTGGTTCTGGAAGAGTGTGGCAGTGCAGGAGAGGGGTTCGTGAGTGCCAACACGTGGCCGGATTGGAGACCACAGGCCCGGCAGTCAAAGTCAAGGTGTAGGGTGGGTTGTGTGAGCGAGCGTTAATTCAGCCATACTCTGAGACACATTCTATTACACTGCTTTGTGAAGCTTTGCTTCTAATGAACAATTAGAACAATTTTTTTTTCCCTACAAAAGCATGTTAACAGCTATTCTAGGCCAGAAAGATTTGATGATCCAGTAAGTTTCAGAAAGGCCTGGTTCAATATATTTAGGTCTCTTTATTGTAGGATTCTTCTCAGGGCACTTAATATGGTGGCGTGTATTAGCTTCAGAATGGGAAGGTGCTATGAGACCTTCTCAAGTTGATTTGGCTCTGGAACGCTCTCCCCGCTGCTGCCACCACCAACACTAACTTATCTTATGCACCTGCTATGCCAAGAAACACTTAGGAGATGGTGCACCTGCCTAAGGAGATGGTGCACCTGCCTAATCTGTTGCCTACAAACAGTACCACCGGAGAGGGTTCCCACCCTTCTCCTATGGGAGTGAAGAGGAAAGAGGAAAGATGTGCCTATCCCACCGGGTAGAGGAGAGAGCATAGCGGTTCTTCTGAACTAGAACCTTCCACAGTCATTTATCAGCTGCTCATCTTGTAAATGAAAACATGTATTGCTTTATTCCTTTTGACCCAGTCCTCTTTAGAATGAGACATCTAGGGGCGCCTGGGGGGCTCCATCGGTTGAGCGTCCGACTTCGGCTCAGGTCACGATCTCACGGTTCGCGAGTTTAAGCCCAGCATAGGGCTCGGTGCTGACAGCTCAGAGCCTGGAGCCTGCTTGGGATTCTGTGTCTCCTTCTCTCTCTGTCCCTCCCCTGCTTGCTCACGCTCTCTCTCTCTCTCTCTCTCTCTCTCTCTCTCAAAAATAAACATTTAAACAATTTTCAAAAATGAGATATCTAATCTATACTATATAGTAGGGGCAGACTGCCTGGGTGATAATATTGGGTCCATCCTCATTTGACGGACAAAGTCCGGTCTCCTCATCTGTAAAGTGGGGATAATCATAATACCCACTCCCCAGGTTTTTCATGAGGATTAAAGGCAACAACCCATGAAAAGTACTCAGTTAACCATTGCCCAAAACTCAAAGGCAAAGTGCATACAGGGCTGGGGTGACCTTACTTCTGGGAACATCGGTGAATCCTGACACTTAGGAGGAGGCCAGCTTGGGACTTGAACCCAGGTTAGACTCTGAACAGCTGGGACCCTGGACAGGAAGTTCTTGCCCCTGGGAGCCCATCCACTCACATACCATCGGTGGCCCATAGACTGGATGTTGGGACCGACTGCTACTGAGCCCAGGGTGAGGAGTTGGTGGGGGCGGGGGTTCATGCCTTCCCACAGCCTCACCCACCTGCGGTGCTGTGTAGTTAGTGACCCCTAGCCAGCCGAGGAAGCCCAGGGCAATGTTCTCAAGCTTTTCACCATAAAATAATGAGAACTTTTTTGTTTGTTTTATCGGACTCCAATACTTGCCATACTATCCTTGGGTAAAGTGATGCTATCACCTAGTTACTATGGCTTTTGCCCCTTTTCATTTGGCAAACATTGATTCTGTTTGTTTTCCGGAGTTTTTTTTTTTTTTTTTCAACTGAAAATAGTTCATTATGGCTTCCTGGAAGGAGTAGAATCGATTCTACTGAGACAGAAAAATACTGTAGGGTTTTTTGAAATCAGCAATTAGGTGAGGGATCGGAGGCACGGGTGGACAGCAAGCCCCAGGGACCCTTGTGCCTTTAAGACATTAGAAGCAAACTTGTTACTTAAGCAATCCAGATTACTTAATCTTAGAAACAAGACGTGAGGTTTTACTCAGAAGGAAAGCCTTGGCTGGAGGAAGAAAGTCTAAAGCTTCCCATCATATAAATTACCCAACAGCTGATGAGTCAAGTGTAAGTGGCCTGAATGGGATTGCGTGGCAATGCCTTTATGGCAAAATCATTTTTGCCAAGTCCCAAATATAAGATGAATAATTTGAGTTAGTTTACAGAAGTTAAAACAGGCCAGAACTTGCAGCCTCCGAGAGCAGGCCCTCAAAACCTGAGGTCAGTTTATCCTTGTTACCTGCTAGAGTTCAGCGTTTACAGATTGCTTTTAGACCTAGCGCTGGGCACCATCCCCTTGACATCTGTCCTTTGGAGCCACCAGATTATGTAAGAGTGCTGATGCCTTTGGCTTTCTCCTTACAGCGGGCCCGATTGGACACCATCATTTCTAAATACCCCGCAGCGAACGCATACACTCTTCCATCACGTTTTGTTTCGAAGAAAGACTTCAGCAATTCCTGTTCCAGCATGTTTCAGTTGCCAAGCTTTGTGAAAGTCCTCAAATCTGAAACTCCCGCACCAAACCATTACAACGTAAGAACGTAGGGTGTGCTTGTTAAATATATATTGAATGAACGCTTTACTAAAATAAATGAAGGGTGGGGGGAGACACTTTGGGAAACAGCATTTTAATGTAATTAGTAAATCAGTTAGCATTTGTTGACTGCCCAGTGGGTACTTGAGGCTGGGCAAGGCCTTTGGAATTTGCAGGACCTGGAGAAAAATGTGGAGGGTGGAGCAGCGGGAAGACCCGTCCCTGGAAAATACTTATTGTAATCACTCCTATCATAGAACCTTTCTGGGTCCATTTTCTCATCCGTGCAATAGGCATATCATTTGCCACTCTGTCTGCACACACTATCCATTTGCCTTTTAGGTCCCTATAGGGAAAATTAACTTCCGTATTTCCATATCAGAAATTGGTTTTTTAACAGTAAGTCTCCACCAATTACAATCACTTTGTAGTCACGGAGACCGGACGGTATGATTAATGGTTAAGAGATGGAGTCAGGTTCAAATGTCCCCTCTGCCACTAACTTTGTGGCTCTAGGCAAGTCCCTTCAGCTTTCAGGACTCAGGTTATTGATCTGTGAAATGGGGATACGTGCCCACTTCATAGTATTAAAGCAAATGTTAAATTAGGTCTTGTATGTGGAGTACATAGCCCAGCCCTGGGCACACAGGGCTCCGCTGTGCATGGAGGTCAGGAGAGCTGTCTTTGGGGAGGTCAGGTCACCTCTTGAGCCTCAGTTGTAAAAGGGAATCAATTATACTTGCCCTAAAGGGTTGTTATAAGAAGCAAATGAGACAGCAAATGTGAAAGCGTAAGACGTGAATCGTATATAAGGTGTTAATATTATCGGGCCATGTCACAAAATAATTTGGTCTTAGAATAACTTCATTTTGATTTCCCTTTTCTTTTTTTAATGTTTATTTGTTTATTTTTAGAGAGAGAGAGAGAGAGAGAGTAAGAGGAAGGGAGGGGCAGAAAGAGAGGGAGGGAGAATTCCTCTGCACTGTCAGCACAGAGCCTGACAATGGGGCTCCATCTCACAAATTGTGAGACCGTGACCTAGGTAGAAATCAAGAGCTGGATGCTTAACCGACTGAGCCACTCAAGCGCCCCTCCTTTTTCTTTTATAACACTTTCAAATAATATTTATTTTTCTGACTACAAAGCCCCTGCCCAGCTTCTGTGATTGATCAAATCGATTAAAATGTGCTGAAAGCAATATATGCCTGTGAGGCCAGCGCTGTCCGCTAGAAATATAATGGGAGCCACATACATCATTTAAATTTTCCCAGTGGCCACATTTCAAAGTAAAAAGGAACAGGTGAAATCAATGTTAATAGTATGTTCTATTTAACTCAGTATATTCAAAACATTATTTCAATATCAAATCAATATAAAATTATTGATTATAAATTTTATTATAATTATATATAATTATAAGTAAACATAATTTATGTGTTACATTCTTTCCATCCAAGTCCTTATAGTCCAGTGTGTATTTTATGCTATCAGCACATCTTAATAGGGACCAGCCATGTGTCTGGTGCTGATAGCCAGTGGCTACTATGCTGGGTGGTGTAGCTCTAAACAGTCTTCCCCTGGGATAATCAGAGCCTGAAGATGATGATGACGAGGAGGAGGAGGAGGAGGAGGAGGAAATCCTTTTCTTGTTAAAAATTTTTTAAATTTTTTAAATGTTTTTTAAAAATTCTATTTCTGAGAGAGAGAGAGAGAGACAGCATGAGCAGGGGAGGGTCAGAGAGAGGGAGACGCAGAATCTAAAGCAGACTCCAGGCTCTGAACTAGCTGTCAGCACAGAGCCTGATGCAGGGCTCGAACCCACGAACCATGAGATCATGACCTGAGCCGAAGCCGGACGCTTAACTGACTGAGTCACCCAGGCGCCCAGATGAAATCCTTTTCAAGGCCCATGTGCCATTCTAAGCATTATGGATGCATCTTACTTAATAGTCACAAGAATTCATGAAGTGGGTTATCTTCAATTCACAGGAGAGGAAGCTGGTGCCTGGAGAGAGGAAGGGACTTGCCCAAAGTTCCCCCACTCGAAGGGACCATCTGCACACCAGTGAGCACAGGTGGAGGACAGCTGGAGAGCGATCGGTCATCATGGTCCAGCCCTGCTGGGTCTCCCTTCATGATTCTGTGGCTACTCTGAGCCAGACCAGTGATACAACTTAGATTCCAGTGGGGAACTCAAGACAAGACTAGTAAACAGGGAAGCAAAAATAATTACAAATGGTGGCCAGCTTTGAGGAAGACAAACAGAGCCTGAGGGAGAGAATAGCTAGGGAATATAGGGGGTTGGCAGTATCATGTACTTTAGATTGGGTGGTCAGAGAAGCGTGAGGCTGAGACCCAAGGACTGAAGGAAGAGGCAGAGTTGAGGGAAGAGCATGTGCAAAGGTCCTGGGAAAGCAAGCAGCTTAGCTTTGGGGAACTACAAGAAGTTGGCTAGAGTAGCATTTGCTAGGAGAGGGGATAAGGGGAAGCCAGACAGATAGGTAGGGAGCAGCTCACTCAGGACCCCAAAGACCCTGGGAGCGATCTTTAATTTTGTTCTCTGTAGGAAGCCTTTACGGGGGTGGAGTGTGAGACGGCATCTCCTGATGTACTTTTTTTTTTTTTTAAGTTTTTATTTATTTCAGAGAGAGAGAGAGACAGTGTGAGTAGGGGAGGATCAGAGGGAGAGGGAGACACAGAATCCAAAACAGTCTCCAGGCTCTGAGTTGGCTGTCAGCACAGAGCCTGATGTGGGGCTCAAACCCACGAACCACGGGATCATGACCTGAGCTGAAGTCGGTTGCTTAACCGACTGAGCCACCCAGGCGCCCCTGATGTACTTTTTAAAAGAGCTCCCTCCGGCAGCCATATGGAGAATGGACCATAGTGCGGGTGAAAACTGGCTTTTGAAAACCAGGTAGAAGGCTCTTATACTAACAGGAGAGAGGTCAAGGCTTGGTCCGAGAAAGTGAGAATAGAGGTTCTCAGCCCCTGCACCTTTGCCATTACTGACACAGGTAGTTGGTGTTTCATGCACCTGCCTCCCCAACCCACCGTGTGCTCCTTCATGTCACATCCTGGTGCCCCGTGCACGGCCCGCCATGCCGGGCACTGGCAATCAATATTTATGACATTGAAGGAATTACCCCCAGCAGTATATAGCTATTAATCTAGAAAACACCGCTGCCCAAGACAGAGCTCGGACCTTCTGCCAATGGACCAATTTCAAGTGCATGTTTTTCTGTTGATTATGGTTTTAATGTGACTGTGAAAATAATTCATGCTCCTCATAAAATATATTCAAGCATCATAGAAATGCTTGAACTAGAAAAGGAGATTTCTCCTCTGATTCTGCTCTCTAAAGCAAACCACCCTTCAAAACAGGTTCAATTCCTTTCCTATTCTCTTCCTCCCCGATCCCTACTTCCAGCATTAGGATTACGCTCTCCACAGTAGGTGCATTTTCTACTCAGTATATCTTGGATTTTTTCCCCCTGGTAATACAGTAAACCTGCTTCATCTTTTTTTTTTTTTTCCCCAACCTGCTAGTGGAGCGGACTGTTTTCCTCACCGAGCGATGACATCTTGCAGTAACACACACTCTGAGTATATGAAACTGCTCCCTCTTTCAGTTGTTTTTCTGTCTGGGTGAGGAATAAGGCTGAAATCGTGTTTTGTCTACGGGAGGCTTTTTGCAGACCCAGAGAACAATGGTTGAGTCAACTGGCGAGAAGCAGCAATGCGCTAATCCTGTTAGCCACACTGCGCAGCGGGGTCCGTCGGGGCCTCTCCTTCCCTCCGCTTACCACGATCCCCCACCTCTCTATTCCAATCCTTTTTCTTGGTACCATGTTATTACTTCCTCTCCGGCAACTCGGCTCCTGGACCTCTGTCCAGTAATTAGCCTTCCCATCCATTGCTTTTGTTTGCCCTCCCTGCGTGCATTCTAGCCACAAGGACCCTGGGAAAAGCTAAATTCTTCCGCCTTTGTGAACACAAAATCAAAATGCCATCTGCATTGCTTGAGAAACTTTTTTTTTTTTCTCAAAGAAGTATCTCGGAAAATCAAGCCATCCTGGCCCCAGCAAATAGTTTCACTCGTTCAGTAAATAGGCCCAGTCATGGTGTAGATGATTTTTATTGCGCCTTTATCTAATGAATACAGGGGACCGACTACAAATTGGCATTTAAAATATTTATGATTCACATATAACAGAAGAATGATCTCAGTGTTCTTTTTTTTCCCCCTGTTATTTTTAAAGTGCTGTATACACTGTGTATTGCGTGGATCAGTCAAAATGCTTAATTTCCGGTCGGTCCAGAAAAGTCGGGACGAGGAAGTGCTTTAAATCTGATTGTGATCTTAAATTACATAGTGCCCCAAATCCCGCGTTTGTAGAAGGGCTGTTTGAACAGTAAGGAGTCATGGTGGAGACATGTGGGACTAAGGGCACCGAAAGGAACGAAGGTCATAGAGAAAATAACGAAAATGATGTGCATGTGCAGCGTCACAGACTTCCAGGAAAAACACGGTCCTAGAGATGAGGCCTGTTGGCCACTGTCACCTTAATGGCACGCACAGCACCAAGTGGAGCAGGGATTGTCGGGTCTGCTTTACGGGTGAGAAAACCCAAATTCAGAGAAACTGAGCCACTTGTGCAGAACCACGCCCTGGGTATGGCAGACACGAGCCTGGCGGCCAGGTCTTCACGTTCTCTTCCGGGCACGGTCCTCTGCGCCATGTTGGGTGACCAGACATTTGGGAGGGACCACACACTCATGGTCCACTCCAGCCGGGGCGACGGGAAAGGCACGGGGACCTTGTCTATTCACGTCAGTTCATTTCGTGAGGACAGGCTTACATGTAACTTTTTTTCTTACCCCGACGTGTCCCTCGTCCAGGCCCGATGACAAAGAGAAAGAAGGGAAGGCACTGGGCACACCACGCTTGTTTTCTTCCCACCCCCCAGGCCTCTGTCTCCTGCTGCAAACAGAGAAACAACGTTTGTGCCCGAGCTGGGTTTGTGTCCAAAACCCAGAGAGGGTTTTTCACTATCACTGCCCCAGGACCAGCTCCAGGTAAGCAGCCACCGCGCACTGGCCTTGACCTAAGCGTTAATGTACCAGATCTGCTCCGCAGGGCACCTTTGCTCCACAGGGAGTCTCTTTGGACAGAGTTGGGCTTTGGGGGAAAGGGGATGGTGAGCAGGTGTTGAACAAAAAGGAGAGGGCTAAGGAGAAGCCCGGGTCTCCCCCTTCTGGGGAGAAGGGCTGCTCTGGGCAGCCAGCACATTCACATGCCCATCAGAGGCCCTCAGTGCACTGAGTGCCCAGATCCTTCCATTCCTCCCGAGCCTACCGGGGACTTCCCAATTAGCCACTAACCGTGGACAGAGCACCTACTCCGCGCTCAGTATTTTCTGTGCCGTCCTCACCCACCTGTCTTCCTCATAGTCCTGCATTTCAGGGGAGGAGAGGGGGCTCCGAGAGTGGGGGTGACCTGCTCGGCGTCCCCCAGCTAACAAGTCTGGCCTAAGTCCAGAGGTGTTGGACTGAGGAGGCTGCCGCCCTTGTCACCCTCCCTGTGACCGCTGAAAGTGCCCCGGGAGCTGGCCTGCAAGTGTCTTCCTCCCTGGGCTGGGAGACGCCTTATGCCTTCCTGTTCTCTCAAACTCGCTGCCTGCTTCCAGCCTCAGCCAGCGGTTTCCAGAGAGGTCTGGTGAGGCCGCCATCGCCATATGGATTCCAGGGGCCCTGGTCACCTTCCCAGTGGGTCCTGAAGACGCCCCCCAAGGGAGCCCTGGGCCTCGGAGCTGAGGGGAGGAGCAGGGAGCGTCTGCCTCTGCGATCACACCTCTAGGTGGGGGGTGTGGATAAAATTGCAGCGCCCTTCGGATTTCACCAAATCCAGATTAAAGCTGAGAAGATCAGTCTGAAGCTGAATAACAAAACCGGCCCTAATTAGGAGGCTAAGCCCCGCTAAAGCTCCCCTGCCTTGCATCATCACAGGCAAAGCCCCACCTTGTTTGTTTATACAGAACAAAGCCCGCACCCCTGGAGTTTGGCCAGAGACCCTGCTGGGCGAGCCCCCAGGTGTGGGCACCTTCTCAGCCAGACACATGAGCCCCCCGGCCCAGCAGGAGCGCGAGAGGTGGGCACCGGTGTCTGCTAAGCTCCTACTGTGGGCCAGAGGCTTTGCGTTTCTCATCGAATGATCTCCAGATGCCCTGGACTGTTCGGCCTGCAGCAATCACATGCTCAGAAAGTGTGAGCTACAACTATTATTGATCCCCATGTGATAGACAAAAGCGATACACAGAAAGCAGGCCCAGGGTCCCGTCGGTAATCTGCTGCCTGCTGCCTCAGAAACTTGCTGGGGAGACTGCCCTCCTGGGAGAACCAGTCAGCCTTGACCTCTCAGAAATAACCCTGGTTGTTTCTTCTTCTCCAGCTGGGGGTGGGAGGGTGGGGGGGACAGATGCGGAGCCGTGACTGGCATCCCCACGGGGTCCCTGTCCCAGCAGCTCTGAGTGGCCCTACCTCAGCATAATGCTCACCTCCACACGTTTGCTGCTTGGGTTTTCTAAAGTTGACATCTGCCAAGTTCATCACGAATATCCTCCTCTCTCTTTTTCCTTAAAATAGAAAAAGGTTGTTACAATTAAGGGGAATACCTATGTTTCAAGTGTCACTTGAAAAGCGTGGGTCACAGAATCGAACCCGCGCTGTGAGCTCAGCACTGTGTAGCTTCCCAGCCACACTCAGGAAAAGGCCAGAAGGAAATACCCCAGAGCTTATTTTTGGTTCTCTCTGGGCTTTAAGATTACGAGCACCTTTTTCCCCTTGCTTCTGCTTTTCAGCCTTTGATAATCAAGTGTTGCTTTAACCATTTTGTAGGAGGGAAAGACATATTCTATGTAACATAAATATAAACGTATACATATTTACACATGAATGAGAGGAAAAGGAACCTAACATAAGAGATTCTATAGCAATATTATAAAGGCTGCAAACTGGACACTTACTTAATTTTTTCTTAATGTTTATTTATTCTTGAGAGAGAGAGAGAGAGACAGAGCATGAGCAGGGGAGGGGAAGAGAGAGAGGGAGACACAGAATCTGAAACAGGCTCCAGGCTCTGAGCTGTTAGCACAGAGCCTGATGCTGGGCTTGAACTCACGAACCCCAGATCATGACCTTAGCCGAAGTTGGATGCTTAACTGACTGAGCCATCCAGATGTCCCGATGGTTCCTGACTTATGATGGTTCAACTTTTAATGTTTATTTTTTGAGAGAGAGAGAGTGGGAGAGCAGGGGAGAGGCAGAGAGGGAGACACAGAATCCAAAACAGTCTCCAGACTCTGAGCTGGCTGTCAGCACAGAGCCTGACGCAGGGTTTGAACCCACGAACCGTGAGATCATAACCTGAGCCACCCAGGCGCCCCCCGCCCCATAAAATTTTTTTTGAAATGTTTATTCTTGAGAGAGAGACAGAGCATGGGCAGGGGAGGGGCAGAGAGAGTGAGGGAGACAGAATCTAATGCAACTATTTGGAACATCTTTTCTCGTTATTGAAAACCCTTCTAAGAATATCATTTTTAAAATGACTGTATGGTCTTCTATTGCATGGCGGTACCATAAGTTAAGGAACAAATGGCCTTTTATTGGAAATTTAGGTTGTTTAAAACCGAACACTAATATAAATAGAGAGGCAGCAAACATCCTTGTAGCTCATGGCTTGTGTATAATCAAGATTATTTCCTTATATTAATTGCTTAAAGCGGAATTGCTAAGTCAGAAGCATGTAAAATATTTAAGGTTTTATGTATTGGTGGCCAAATTGTTCTTCAGGAGACAATTTCCTCCTGCTACTGGGAGGTCTCTGCTTTTCTTCGCCTTTGCCAACACTGGGTGTTATCATTTAAATAAAATCTTCCTTATGCTTACCATATTGTTGCTTTCAGTACTTTTGCAATGGAAAGCAAATCTTTGTGTAAAGCAAAATCAACTTCACCATGTTTAGAGCATTTGAAATATTTTTCCATCCCACAGTGTAACTGTAATTGCTAATTACACTAATGTAATTGCTTCCACTTTTCTGGGTTCCCATATATATATATTTTAAAGGTTTGTTTATTTTTGAGAGGGGCGGGGGGAGAGGCAGAGAGAGAGGATCCGAAGCAGGCTCCTTGCTGACAGCAGCGAGGCCAATGCGGGGCTCAAACTCGTGAACCATGAGATCATGACCTGAGCTGAAGTCAGACACTCGACTGACTGAGCCACCCAGGCGCCCCTCACCTATTTTTATCCAGATGTATCCATGTGTACCTAGATGTCGTCATAGTATACAGGGACTTTTAGGTGTTATTTAACTTTTTGCACTCACCTTTATTTTCCGAACCGTTGCCATGTGGCTTCATGGTCTCCATATTTATTGTGTCCAGGGCTGACACTCCACCAGATTGGGCTGCTGTTCCCATGACAGCAGTACCCTGGCCTTGGACAGTCAGGCCACTTACCCCTTCATGCATTGCAGCTGCTGTTGCTACATGCATCTCCACGCTTAGAGCTTTTCCTGTATATGGAAGAATTCCCTTAACTTCTGAGCAGTGGGTCCAGACAGACGTCCTCAAGGTTCTGTACCTATTGCTTTGCATCAGAAAACGCCTACACCGGCCAGCAGGGCTGCTGAGACTTCCCCCCAGCCCAGATCATTCTCTTCTTCCTTGAAGCAAGTTCATTTTATTCTCTCTTGAAACAGGGCATGGTTGGAAAGCATGGACTTTGGAGACAAGTGGCCCTGGGTCCACGTAGTAGGTGCTCAATAAATATTTGTTGATTGCGTAATAGTCACTAAACAACTACTATATGCCTGGAACTTAAATATTACTCAACGATCATAACCACCCTGTTGTTGGAAGAATTATTCTTACCTTATAGAGGAAGAAACAGGGCTTAGTTCCTCATTAGATGAAATTTTGGGGCAAATTATTCAATATCTCCGAGTCTCCGTTTCCTCCTCTTTAGAATGGAGGTGACAGTTACCCACTCAGCTGGGCTTCTGTGAGGATTAAATGAGCTAAGTATGTGATGCACGTGGCCCACGTTCTCTAAAGGGTGAGTATTATTTTTCAGGCAGCCCCCATTTGGCCATCTTGGGGTGCTATCATCTTAGAGTCATTAAAGTGTATTCTTAGGTGTAAGGTACTGCTTTTTATTTATTTGAGATGCGTTCCTTATTCTGTTTTAAAATGTCTTTCTTCTTAGGACATTATCATATCAACGAATCCCTTGTGAAGCAGTCACCAAAGGCATTAACATCTTGTTTCAAATCAAAAACGGGACGTGGATTGAAACTGACATCAGCAGGCCCGGGGCCTGGTTATTACAACCCCAGTGATCACATCAAAATTCTGAAGAAGACTCTTTTCCCGTGAGTCCTGATTATTCCGATCTTTCTTTTGAAAGGTGGCTCTGAGGGGCGCCTGGGTGGCTTAGTCGGTTAAGCGTCCGACTTTCGCTTAGGTCATGATCTCGCGGTTCGTGGGTTCGAGCCCCGCGTCGGGCTCTGTGCTGACTGCCAGCTCAGAGCCTGGAGCCTGTTTCAGAGTCTGTGACTCCCTCTCTCTCTGATCCTCCCCTGCTCACGCTGTCTCCCTCTCTCCTAGAAATAAATAAAAACATAAAAAAAAAAATTAAAAAAAAAAAAAAAGAAAGGTGGCTCTGGGGAAGGACCCAACATAAGCAGAATAGGAAGGGGTATCACTGCTTGGCAGAACACAGCGCCGGGTCACTCACTCTCCAGGGGCCTTTGCTGACTTAGTAGATGCTCAGTGAACACTTACTGAATGCATGATATTTATTGAGCAACTACTATGCACCAGGAACTTAGCATCCCATTCAACCATCATACTAACCCTGTTGTAAGAATTATTATTCTTTCTTCATAGCTGGGCTTCAGGGCAGCTAAGTAACTGCCCAAGTCACACAGCTAATTTGAAATGCCACTAGGAATCAGGCTCAGGACCGTCTGGATCCTTCCACATTCCTCATGATATTGTGTTATCCCAGTGCTAACGTTATTCTATTTTTATAAAATAAAATCTCTACTGGGCTGGCAGGGATATACAGCAGCACGGGGCTGTTTGAGTTTTGTACCGATAGGTTGAAAGTCTAGACTTTGGAGTTGGTCAGACCTGCTGGATTTGAACTTCAGCAGACCTGCTGGATTTGAACTTCAGCTATGCTGTTTTCATGCTGTGTGACCTTGGGCACTGTATGAAGACCTCTGAACCTTCAAGGCCTCATCTGTGAAGCAGAGTGGGGATAATTCATGCCTCATAGTATTGCTTTCAGATTTTATAATATATGCTTGGCGTGTAGCAGGTGCAAATGGTGACTTAATATTCACACACATTTAAAAAGGGAAGACAGGGATTTGTGTTAACATGTCTAATATCCTGTGCATTTAATATCACTTTCACGTAACTGGTTCAAAAACTCACAGGGATTATTTATTCCTCAGATGGTTCTAGAACTTCTAGAACTAACTGTCAGGTCAGCCTGCCTGTCACCATCCGACACCTCACCCAGGTGTCGTCCTCTCCGGGCAGCACTGGCTGCTGGGAGGGCTCAGCAGGGCGGCCCCTCCGAGGAAGTCAGGCTCATACCCGCAATGGGTCAGAAGCCCAGGCAACCCGGGGAGCCTGGCAACCTCGGGCCTACTCTGACCATCAGTGCAGGACAAGGAGATGGGGTGGCGGGAGGAGCAGATGAACCGGCCGTGTCAAACTCAGGATCTGGAGAAGGGATCCAGACCTCAGGTGGGATCCACTGGGTAAGTCCCGCCTGCCCTTCGGTTCCTGGGCTCTGCGGGTTGACCCTTCACGGGGTCCAGGGCTCAAAACTGGGGCAGGACAGTCCCCAGGAACATGCTCTCTTGGAATGCCAGGGACTTCCTGCCTCCGGGCTGGGTCAGGGCACCGCCGTACACCTTCCCTTACTGTGCCAGCAGAGAGAGTGGGTGAGGGGACAGGCTTTGGAGTTGGCAGACGGGGTGCGAGTCACGGCTCTGTCCCTTTCTTTTCTGCGAGCCTGTCTGCGTGTTACAGAGTGGGGATAAGCGTCTTCTCTGCGAGAGCTTCTGTGAGGGTTAGATGAGAATATGGTCACGATAGCTGCAGCTGTTCTGTATCCGGTGAGCAGAAAGGGCTGAGCCGCTTGGGCCCCTCGCTCGAATCCGGAAGGTTCTCTGAGGAAATGGTGAAAGGGAGGGCGGAGAACACTCAGTGTTGAACTCCTTCCCCCAGAGAAGTGCCATCTGGTCTTGGCTGAAGTTTGGACGAGCGGTTTGAGATAATTCCCGTCTTGCGGCATTTGTGTCTATTAGTCACCAGGCTCTGTAGGTTTCTGGGTCTGTGCCGGAGGCGGCGGGGGTGCTGGGGTGAACGAGCCATGTCCGTACCTTCAGCCAGGCCACCCGGGAGCAACTCCGAGCAAGGCAGAGGCGGCACACCGGTCCCCTTGTGCAGTGGTGCTGGGGTGTCTGGGGGTGTCTGGGGATCACTGGCTCTCTGTGGTGCTTTGTGAATGACAGATCTTTGTTAATAAGTCTAGGGAGCACTGCATATGAACCCTGTGTCCCCGGGAGCATCGCGGTGCACATGGCCTTGTTAAAGGCTCTGAGATGGCCTGACGTAAAAACAAAACAAAACAAAACAAAAACAAAAACAAAAAAACCCCTACTAAACCCAGTGTCTCTTAAACTTGGGCTCACCCTGGTGAGTAGGTAGACCCCCACTTGGGCTCACCCTGATGAGTGGATGGTGCCCTGGGCAGGACATTTGTGTTAACAGCCCCTGTGGTCTGGGTGGCTCTCAGCACCTCCCTCGGCCTTCATTTCTTCATGTGGGGAAAGAAGGGAGGTCTCTCCATGTCCGAGCTTCCATGACCCTGTTTGCTCACCAGGGCATTCAGGAGAGCATATTAGGGGCAGCCTGGACTCCCAAAGGAGAGCCAAAATATATAAAATTAAAAAATAATTTTTTAATGTTTATTCTTGAAAAAGAGAGAGAAACAGACAGAGGGCAAGTGGGGGAGGGGCAGACACACACACACGCACACACACACACACAGAAGATCTGCAGCAGGATCAGCTTCAGGAAGCTGTCAGCACAGAGCCCTACACGGGGCTTGAACTCATGAACCGTGAGATCATGGCCTGAGCCGAAGTCAGACGCTGAACCGATTGAGCCACCCAGGCACCCCCAAAATATGTAAATTTTTAAATTGACATGGAAAGGATGAAGCTGTAAATCTATGATTGTATTTTAAAACAAGAAGAAAAACCTCAAGCGTGCTTCTGGTTAGCCGAAAACAGCATCTGTCTGCCTATGTTGAGTAAGGAAGAAATGAGTTAACGTCACGAAAAGACATAGCTGAATGGTGTGCTATGGACGGGGTGTCCAGACTCCAGCCGCCCAGATTGGTATTCTGTCACCTCTCCTGTGTCCCTGGAGGCAAGAGAGGGACCGGAGCAGCTGGGGGCCCACCTGCTGGGATCATCCGGCCCCTGAGAAGGTCTGCACTGTTTCCTCCCCATCTCTGTGTAACTCGGTAGGGACTTTATCCGAACTAAGCCTGAGCACACTTTGTTCTCCAGGGCTGCGTAGGCAGCGGTGGAGAATCTGAGTCCTCGCATGTTTCTTTTTGGCAAACACAGGCAGCCCGGGCGTCACATCCATGTGACGTCATTTCTGTCCGTATTTGTCTTGGATTGCAAATGCTTGGCGCCCTATTTGCGGGGGAGGGTCCCAGCTTGCAAAAATAATCTTTCGGCTCTGCTTTCTCGAGGACGCAGGAAGAATCGGGAGATGTGAATTACCCTACAGCTGCTAGTCCCAGGTTACCCACCAATGAAAGTGAAGCCCAGGGAGGCGAGGGTTGGCTGATGTCCTGGGGATGCTCTGGAGGCCGGCAGGGGGCCGGGCCTGGGCCTGTCTTGTCCCTACTCCCCTCAGGGCCTGCAGAGCTGAGAATGGGCTGCAGGGTAAGTGAACAATAAGAGACTCCAAGTCAGGCTAGCCTTGAGCCTCCCACCTTCCCCACTCACCAGCTCTGGGGGCCTGGGGGCCAGCAGGGGGTCACCTCCCTCCCAGGAATTCAAATTCAAGCCTGCAAATTGTGACATGAATGCCTCGTAATGTACATGCAAGGATGAAATAAGATAAAGCACTGGGTCTGGAACACGGTAAGCTTTCCATACATGTAACTCGTATTTTTACCGAGGTCTGCGAGTGGGTCCTCCGCGCTCACCTGCCGCTTCCTGGGTGGCCCTTGGAGGGCATATGCGGTGCTAAGGGCTGGCAGGGTGTTAGGATGGCCATTTCTGGGCTCCCTAACTGAAGGACAGGGCGCAGGTGTCACTATGCGGTGGCCACCTGGCCACTAAGAGCACTTATCAGCTTCCAGGGGGGCTTTAGGAGGGAAGAGAAGTGTCAGCTTCAGGTCGTCAATATCCGTCACACTGATGACTCCGTGAAGCAGGGTGAGTCAGGAGAAGGGCTGTTGTGGAGACCAAAATGGTCCCTCCCGGGCGCTGCCTTCCACTCACACTCGCCAGCAACGAGGGGAACACCCACTGACATCTCCCTAACCCTTGATCCACTTCCTGGAGCGTTTAAGCCACTGGTTTTGCACGGACTCGCTGTCCCGCCACAGTCGGAGCTCTAGAATCAAACCCCGTTGGCCCCGCTCCAACTTGGGTAATTGCGATGACCCACCTAAGCTTCCCCTGGGGTTTTCAATTAGATACGGGATGCTTCTTCCCAAGCGGTTGTCACCTGTCACCTCTACCCTGTTAAACAGATACTGCGTTCCACCCCAGGGGCAGCCAGCTGCCCTTTAATGATGAGGGGAAAAACTGCCCCTTTATTTACCCCTCCCTACCATGGGAATCCCTGAGGCAGAGTGAATCGGCGCCTGGGAGTGTCCCGGGGGTCCTAGATGCCTTCCCCGAGTGACCCGCTGAGTCCTTGGACACATTCATTATTCTTGGGCGATTTGCAAACAGCTCACGTTGGAAGCTGCAAACACACTTAATCCAGTTGTGGCCAACTCAGAGCCTTTGATAGATGTTTTTCTTTCTACGGGGCAGGACCAAGTTGGCTTTTATAACTGAGCAGTGAGGCTCATAAAAGCTCCGGCCACAAGGCACTGGGGGCCGGCCTGGGTTTGATCCAGCCAGACCTTTGTGATCTGCCCAGCCCCCACTGGCCACGGAGGGAGCCTCCCTGGACGATGATAAAACTGTCAGGTGGGGCTCAGATGTCTGGGCTCCCCTACTTGCTGCAACCTCTCTGTTTTCCCCACAGTTCAGCGAATGTCCTGGGAGCAGGGATGAGGCCTCAGAGATGAGTCAGGCGCAGTCCCCTGCCTGAAAGAGCTAGGCACATAAAGAGCATAGGAAACCTAGCACGTTCCGTGCAGAGAAAAGAAGAATGGCTAGAACATCTTGAGGGCTCAGCCACACGGAGCTAAGAGCTCTCACGGATGTCACCTGGCGCCATGCTGCCGGCGCCCTGGCAGGGCACTAACTACTGTTGCAGAGAATACAGATGAAGGTGGTGGAGCGGGGAGCGGCATTCAGGTCTGGCTGGCTCCGGAACCCACGCGCCTTGGTGGGAGGTGGGGGGACAGTGTCCGCAGAAGTTTCCCCGAAGGACGTACAAAGGGAAGAATGATCAGAGTTTGCAGGGAAAGTAGGTGCTCCTGGCAGAAGGAACAGCACAGGCAAAGGCATGGAATGGCTGGAGACTCTGAGTCTGTGTCAGGTGTTTCTGGAAGGTCAAATGGGAGCAAGGGACCTAGGAGATCAGGCTGGATTAGGAGCTTGTCCTTCAGCTTCTCATCAGGGCCTCTGACGGTGGATGGTCAGGTGAACAGCCTAGAAGTCCTGGGTGGTGCGTTGAGGGCAGAAGGCAGGTCTGGGAGGCTCGGCCTCTGCCGCCCTGTCCCAATTCCTGCCGCATGTGGCTACAGTTCGTGCCTTGTCCGTGCCTTTGCCCCTCTGTTTCCTCTGCTGGAAATGTCCCCTCCCCCATCTTTCCTACCCGAAGAATTCCTGCTTACTTTTCAGGGCAAACGTTCTCTCTTCTAGGGCAGATTTCTGGATTCACTTAGTTGGAATCTTTCTCTCTGTCTCAATGCAGTATTTTTACTTCTATTCTAACATTTCATGGTTTAAAATGAAATAATGCAAGTAAAGCACGAGTTAATCTTCATAACAATCCCGGATGGAAGGTATTATTATCCCTCCCTTTCACAGATGAAGAAACTGAACCTGAGGAGGCCAGGAGACGCCTCTATGGACACACAGTGGTGAGCAGGGAGGTGCAGGGTCAAGCCCAAGCTTGTCTGGGTGCAAAGCCTGTACTTCCTGAAGTTGTCACCAGTCACGACGGTCCCTAGCCATGGATTGTCAAGCCCTTGGGAGCATTCAGAGTCTGTGTCTTAGCCCAGAGTGCCCGGCACAGAGCTGCACACTCTTCCTATTGTTAGTCCATTTATTTATTTTGAGAGAGAGAGAGAGAGATAGTGTGAGAGGGGCAGAGAGAGAGGGAGACAGAGAAAATCCCAAGTAGGGTCCGTGCCGCCAGCGCAGAGCCCGATGCGGGGCTCAAACCCACGAACTGTGAGATCATGACCTGAGCCAAAACCAAGAGTCGGACACTCAGCCAAGTGAGCCACCCAGGCGCCCCTGCTACTCTTCAAAGATGCAGAGAGCCGAGGTGACACTGTGAGACCCTCTGGGCACGTTGGCGGAGTGGAGGGCACGGGACCTCTCCAACCCCTCTAGCCAAGAATCCTGATGAGAACGGACCCAGCCTCCTGCAGGCAGTTCCTGGGTAGGAACGTACACACCTCACGGCCTTCTCAAAGCGTGGGGCTGGGGGTGACCCAGACTGATGGGGTGACCTCATGCAGCGACTGGCTCATTCCAGCTCCAGCACTGAGGAATCAAGCCTGTTTCTCAGGGATGCCGGTCACACACTCATCAAATTTCTGGGGGTGCTTTGAAGGGGTGCCACAAACCAGAACAAGGAGAAGCCAGCTTTTATTTCTAAGGGGAGAAGAGGTTGATCACACTCTATAACCAGTTTGCCCCTGTCACCTGGAGGGGAAGAAAGAGGCGGCATTTTTCTCTCCTCTTCCTGCGGGCACCTTTGTTCTAAATATAAGCATCCACGTGGCTGTTCCTCCATTATAAGATGTGAGCCTCAAGCAGATTTACGATGACTCTCAATGGCCTCCCTTGGCAGCAGAGCGGCCATCCAGCCTCGGGGTGACGCTGTGTGAGGGGGCCCTGGCCTCTCTTTCGTGGGCCTCGGTTGCTCTTTAAGACTGAGCAGGAGGCTGTGGCTTGCAGAAGCATCATCATAACAATGACCACTTTTATTGAGCACTTACTGTGGGCTGGTGCTATGCTCAGTCCTTCCATACCTTTCCTCCATTCTCCCACTCCCTTATAGAGGGTGTTATTTCTCCTCCGTGCAGGTGTAGAGAGATCCAGGGGCTTGTCTGAAGTCTCACAGCCAACCAGCGGGATGACAGGAGTTGAGACGCAGGTCCATGTGACTCTAAAACTCAAAAAGTCCCCTCTGCCACGATGCCTTCCCCAAATTGCTAGGCCCCTGAGACTCAAGCGCTGGTGCTGTCATTACCGCTCATTTGCTCAGTGACTTTGGGTGACAGACGGTCTCTCTCTGAGTGCCAGTTTCTGTAGCACAATGAGGAGGCTGGATAAGACCTCTCTAGGTCCCCTCCATCTCTCTGAGTTTACAGATGCCCTTGCGTCCAAAGGTGTTGGTCAAAGGTAAATGTTGTGCCGAGGTCCCTTGGTTTCCACCCCGCGCCCTGGCTCACCAGGAAGGTGTTCCGTAGGATTCGGCAATGTCAGTGCCGGAATGAATGGTCTCTCTACTGTGCTCTCACTTTGCTCAGGGCCCTGCCCTGCCCACCTAGGTGCATCCTCCCGTTTAACCCTGACAAGAGCCGATGAGGGAAGTTCTGTTAAAACCGCCATTGTGCAGAGGATGAAACCGAGGTCTGGGGCCCCCAGCCCACCAGCAGTGGGGCCAGGGCTCTGCCCAGCGGCTCAGACAGTTCGGTGCCGGGCAGGTCTTGGCTGTATCTAAAAACAACGATTTCCCCCACAGCCTGCTTTAGCGCTATCTTCACATTTTTGTCTTTTTTGAAGGAGAAACCCCATCCTGAACTTCTCTGCCCAGCCTTTGTTCTTGCCTCCGAGGCCGCCGTTCCCGGGCCCCGGTCACTATGAGATCGTGGACTACGAGGGCCCCCCCAAGCACTTCATCTCCAGCGCATCGTTCGTGTCCAGCACCGGCCGGTGGACAGCAGCCCCGTGCCAGCCAGACCTGCCTGGCCCAGGTCAGGGGACTGTTTTAAATGATTGTAGGAACCAAATTTAGAAGTGTTTGTCATTCCTGGGCCATCAAATGTCACCGATGCATGGGATGTTTGCCAAGCAGGTTACAGAGGTTAGAGTCGACCCGGAAGACATTTAGGCCTGCACTTTTGGAGTATGAAAGGGTTTTCTTTGAGGTGAAAGGACTCAGGGTTAATCCAGTTCAGGGATTCATAACCAAGGACTGTGAATGTCCGAGAGGCTCAGAGATGGACCCAGAGGGCTCTGTGACCCTGAAACTGCCTGCAGAATTTTTTTTTTTTTTGAGGAAGGGGCCATAGCTTTTTGTCAGATTGGCCAATGATTTCATGTTCTTGGAAATATTTAAATCACTGGCCTGATCTGACAGAGTCACTTTACAGCCGGGGAAGGCCTGGAGAGCAAGGTGTGCACTGAGCCACAGTGAGAGAGCCGCAGGGCAGGGCAGAGCGCCAGGCTGCTTCCCCTCTGTGCCCTGTCGTCATGACACAAGCCAGGGACCGATCGCCGGAGCCGCTCCTTTGGGCTGTCTCGTTCCAAGCCCTCTTTGCAGATAGCTGAAGCCATGGGACCCTGTCCCCTCTGGGACCTATGTGGGAGCTAATAGCCCCTGACCTCTCTGTCACTCCGTCACAGCCGCTCAGCTATTTGCCACGCCCTGGCATCGGCCAGAGCCGGTGGCACTGGGACTGGCAGGGCGCGCTGGCGGGCAGGTGGTGTGGGGGGAGGAGGGCAGAGCCAGGGTCGCTGCTCGGTTTGCTCAAATCAGTTGTCCAGGGAGCGCTGACGATGCTCCCTCCTACCCTGGGGGACAAAGGTGACTCAGCGGGGTGCTACCCCAGAGGTATCAGTCTGGGAGGGGATACCTTCCCCTCCAAACATAGCGCTGAGTACAATGTAAGGCGGATGGGACAGGGAAAGTCATTATCGTGGCTCTGGCCTTGGAGATGTAATGATAATCAAGTCAAGAAGACTGCAGAGCTTTGACCTTGGGGTCCCCTGGTCACAGTCCGGGCAGGACTCAGCTCGGTTGGGCAAATGTACTAATACTCCAATCAAGCAGCAGGCTCCAGGAGGCCTGGGGACCAGCGAGGAGCCTTGCCTGACTCTGTCCGGTATCTAGGAGCTTTTTTCTTTTTATTATTATTATTTTTTAAACATTTGTTTATTTATTTATTTATTATTATTTTTTTTTAATTTTATTTATTTCTAGGAGAGAGAGAGAGAGACAGCGTGAGCAGGGGAGGGTCAGAGAGAGAGGGAGTCACAGACTGAAACAGGCTTGAGGCTCTGAGCTGGCAGTCAGCACAGAGCCCGACGCGGGGCTCGAACCCACGAACCGCGAGATCATGACCTAAGCGAAAGTCGGACGCTTAACCGACTAAGCCACCCAGGCGCCCCTATTTATTTATTTTTTAATTTTTATATTTTTGAGAGAGAGAGAGAGAAAAAGCACATGAGTGGAGGAGGGGCAGAGAGGGAAGGGGAGAGAAGATCTGATGCAGACTCTGGGCTGATAGCAGAGAGCTCGATGCCGGGCTCGAACTCAGGAAGGTGAGATCATGACCTGGGCCGAAGCTGGACGCCCAACCTGCTGAGCCACCTAGGCACCCCAATGTTTTGTTTATTTATTTTGAGAGAGAGAGAGAGAGACAGAGCAAGAGAGAGACAGAGACAGAGTGCAAGTAGGGGAGGGGCAGAGAGGGAGACAGAATCAGAAGCAGGCTCCAGGCTCTGAGCTGTCAACACAGAGCCTGACATGGGGCTTGAACCCACTAACTGTGAGATCGTGACCTGAGCCGAAGTTAGACGCTTAACCGACTGAGCCACCCAGGCGCCCCTCTAGGAACTTTTTCTGAGTGTCTGCGCCATGCTGTGCATGGAGTGGGGCACCTGGAGTGGAGCACCTGGCACACAGGGGCAGGCCGCTTCCTGCTGCTGTGATCACCTGCGCCACGGTGGGCTTCCCCAAGAGCGGGCCTGGGAGTGAGCCACGAGCCTGCTTGGCCTCCAGGGGTATAGACCTGCCTGGACCCTTGCAAACCAAATTGGCATCAGCATGAGAGTTTCCAGTCACCCCTGTGTGGTCCTGGCAGCTGGTCCTAGAGAAAGCGCTTGCAGTTATGGCTTTCACTTTTCTGGAAATTTTTTTTCTTTTTTTTTTTTTTTCTTTTTACCAGTAGGCTCCATGCCCAGTGTGGGGCTTGAACTCACGACCCCGAGATTAAGAGTCATATGTTCTACCAACTGAGCCAGCCAGGCGCCCTTCTGGAAATTTCTGGATTAAATAAGAACAAAACCCTACCAAGCAGACACCTCCCTTCTTTAAGCGTTATTGCTTTACTCAATTTTTTTTTTTCCAAATTTGATAGAAAACTCTTTTGTAAATTTTCTTCTGTCAGAGAGTTAAAGGCTGGAAGCCAGGGTTCAAGTCCTGCCTCGGTCGGGCCAGCCCTATCCCTCTCTGCGTCCAGGGGCCAGGACAGGGGCCCCCCGACATTGGTGGCTCTGCTGGAGAATGCCGGCGGCCTGGGCAACTGGCCTTCCCACTAGTAACACTGTCTTTCTCTCTCACGCACCTCACAGCCACGTACAAGCCACAACTCCCTGGAAAGCAGTCCTTTCTGTACAATGAGGACAACAAATGGATTCCAGTGCTGTAGGGACCGCACACAAGCTCGGGGAGCGCCCTGGCCACCGGCGGCCCCGCCCAGGCTCCCCAGGACGCTCTTTCGGAGAATGCCCATCTCGTGCGTGGCAGACAGCGAGCCGGAGGGCAGCTCCCCCACACCCCCTTGGCGCCCGGCCTTTGTCTTTGTCTGGAGCTGCCCCCTGGAGATCAGACGCCCACCTCCTCTGCCTCCTGCGGGTTCCTGAGCGGAAATGAGGAGCGGACAGAGCCTCCCTTGGTTACCTGTCACGCCCCTGGCCGTGCTGGGTCCCATAGGCCTCCCCACCGACGTGAGGGTCTCCTGAAGCTCAGACTCAAGGGAGAAGGTGGCCCTTGGCAGATTCCCCTTCTAGAAGCCTGACGCCGGGCCAGCTCGAGGTCCAGAGAGCACCTACACTCCCATCCCTAGCCCCTGACTTCTGGGAGCCGGGAAGGCCCAGAGGCGCTTGCCTTGTGACAGACTTGAGGAGGTGCCTGGGCCCGGGACCCCCCGCTAAGCCTGCGTATCTCACCTTCAGGAAGAGCGTGACACCAGTCACCGTGGTCACTTGCGCTCGGTACCCACCTTCAGGAGAGGCCACCGCATCCATTTAGTGGCCCAGTGTTCGATGGCACGTGTGGGCACGTGACTGCTAGGACCGGAGCCCTGGGAACAGCTTTCTGAGGGGCAGGGAGGCTGTGCACTGCTTAGTGCCTACGGGTTCCTTCTTTTCCTGGGACTCTCCTATAGCCAGGCCCGGCCTCCATCTCCTCCCCAGGCCTCTTGCTCAAGTTTGACGCAGTCTTTAATGGGTCTCTTCTGGCCTGCCAAATCCGTTTCCCCTCGGCAAGAGGAAGAGATTCCCAAAGAACCAAGGAGAAACAGAAGAAGCCACACGTCACCTCCTTTCCCAGATATTGATGTTGTCGTTCACTTCTGCAAGTGGAAGGCGCTCACGTAGCCCCCTTCATGCTCCCCACAGGGTACAGGCCCTCTCTCCCGGGGCCCCTCCTCTGACTTTGCTCTGTGACCAGAGAGAGAATGGCCTTCCTGTCAGGATGGCCGCTGACTGGCTCTCCCTGTGGGGAGGGGTGGGGGAGGGAGAGGGAGGGAGAAGGATGGAATACCATATCCAATTAAACTGAATTCTTGCATCTCACCAAAGCTGGCCTTTTTGTAGACCTCCGATTCCCTCAAGTGCTCACTGCTTTGGGATAGGTGGCGGGGGGGGGGGCGGGGTGCGGAGCACCTTGTGAAGAGCAATGCAAGGCTGGACCTCGAGGTAGGACACCTCGTGCCCCAGGCTTGTCAGGTCCATAGCTTCTTTTCCAAGGTAAAGAGTTGGGTTTGAATTCCGGGGCTCAAGGGCAACTCTTGCAGGGGCTGGGCAGGCAGCGCATGGAGCCAAACAGTGGGGCCCAGGGGTGGGGTGTGGGCACCGAGGCCTCTGGTCTAAAGGGGCATCTGACAGGGCTCCAGACCACTGCTGCCAGACCTGCCCATTTTCGACAGAATCTTGGAAATATTTAAAATGTGAGCTCTCGGGCACCCGGGTGGCTCAGTCAGTTAAGTGTCTGACTTCGGCTCTGGTCATGATCTCACAGTTTGTGGTTCGAGCCCCGCATCGGGCTTTGTGCTGACAGCTCAGAGCCTGGAGCCTGCCCAGGATTCTGTGTCTTCCTCTCTCTCTGCTCCTCAACCCCCTCATTATCTCTCTCTCAAAAAAAAAAAAAATAATAATAATAATTTTAAAAAATGTGAGCTCTCCTGATTTGAGATGTTGACAGCTTTACCGCAACTTCAAAGTGTTTGCTGGGGCTACAGGAAACTTCTACAGGCTTTCCACTGGGTGCTAGAAGTTCTGGAAGACCCTTTCAAAGTTGTACCTTTCTTTGACCGCAGACTCTTGACAATGGGGCCAGATCCCAGCGCCTTGGTTTATAGCAGACAGTTGGGCTAGAAGCAGCCACCCTTGGGGTCTCTGTGGGCACTGGGGTCTCTGTGGGCCTTGGGGTCCCTGTGGGGAAACGCAGGGGAAAGCAAGACAGGCCTCTCCTCCCTTTGGGCAGCTGCGCTGAGCCCCGGCAGGTAAACCCCATCTCTCCAGAGGAGCCCCTTCCAAGTGGGATCAGGAAAGAGGGGGCTCTGAGAAAAAATGGCGGGGCTGTTCTTGGCCAGTCCGAATCTGTGTTCTGTGGAAGACATGATTGGAGGTGAGGCCCTAAGCTCAGAGGGTCTGTCCTGACCACATCTAGTCTCTCTAAAGGTGTCGTTTGCTGCTCACAGCGCTACCTAGGCCAGCGATTCTCAAACCCTGGCTGTATGTTATGATCACGTGGGAGCTATTCCAGAGGCAGCCCTGCCCAGGCCCCAACTCTCAGCGTTCTGGTTTGACTGATCTAAGGTAGAATCTGGGCAGGGGCATCGGTATCTTTTTATTTTTTAATTTATGTTCATTTTTGTGTGAGAGAGAGAGACAGTGTGCAAGCAGGGGAGGGGTGGAGAGAGAGACACACACAGAATCTGAAGCAGGCTCCAGGCTCTGAGCTGTCAGCACAGAGCCTGATGTGGGGCTCAAACCCAAGAACCGTGAGATCATGACCTGAGCCAAAGTCGTATGCTTAACTGACTGAGCCACCCAGGCACACCTCATTTTTTTAAATTGAGATATAATTGACCTATAATATTGTGTTAGTTGTGGGTATAAGCACTTCTAACAAGGTCTCGGGCGATGCCGATGCTCTGGTCCGTGGATCACACTTAGCGTGGCCAGGGTCTCATAAACGCACTTTGACTGCTTAGCTCTGGCCATTTGTTGGTCCATCTGCCGTTTGCCTATTTCCCCCTCCTCCCTCCTTCCCTCTCTCCCTTTCTTCTCATTCCCTCACTTATTCATTCATTCCCTTCCCCCTGTCACTGGCAACTTGTCATCTTAGGGGAAAGCTACCAGGCAGGGAATGCCCTCCCCACTGGCTAACGGCCACCTTTCCAAAGTGACTCTCATTTGGCAAGGACTTACCTTCATTCCTTCCCCCTTTTACTCTTTGGAGCAAGAGGCGGTCCTAGAATGGCAGCTGTCAGGCTCAGGGGCTGCCCTTGTCCCCTGACTTCTCTGGGGGCAGGGCTGCAGTTCCTCAAGCTCTCCAGGTCCAAATGGCCTTTCTAGGCATTGACCTAGACCGCCCTGGTCTCACCGTGTGGTGGCTTCGCTGAGGCAGCTGGATGCGTGGCGGGGGTGGAGCTGCCAGGCTCCCTTCCTGAACACCGCAGCAGGTGATGCAGGATCCTGACTCCTCGTGGGTAATTCAGCCAGACACCGCCAGATGAAAAAGGCTTCAGGTTCAAGGCCTGTATACTTATGGCCTCTCTAGAGCAGTGATTCTCGACCTTGACTACAAATTGTAATCACGGGGGTGGCTGGAGTGGTGCTTTAAAAAGCACCAATCTGAGGTCTGGGTCCACCCCCAGAAGTTCTGATTTAAATGCTCCAGGGTGGGGTCTGGGCAGTGGGACGAAGGATAAAAGCTGCTCAGGTGATGCCAGGGTGGAGGCCAAGGTTGAGAAGCACCAGCTGCCAGCTTCCCAGCCTGCCTGCAGGAGCGGAGCCGGCAGGAGGCTCGAAGAAAGGAAACGAACGGATGCAGGGAGCTCTCGGTGCTCTAAAGAGGATAGTTACAAGTGACCCATGTAGACCCATGCCCCTCATTTCAGAGCTAAAGAAACCGAGGCCCAGAGGTGGTAGGTAATGTGCTAGGAAGCTGGCGAAGGAGGAAAGGAAGGAAACGCAGATTTGTCATTTGTTCCCTAGAGGAAATAAAGGCCTTGATTTGTAGCAGTCGTCAATGTCTGTGGTGTAAATATCCCTTCCCCAACGTTCGCGGCCCCTGGGAGCCACTGAGTCACCTGTGGGGGAGAAGGGTGTGCCCAGAGCGTGGGGGCAGGAGAACTCCAGTCACGTGGCTCCCAGCCTCGGGCTGTGCCCATCGTGCCAGCAGTGAGGGCCTTGGCCAGGCCCTGTGGCTTTTCCCAGGACTTGCTCATCTCTAGTCAGTGGTCCTAGGGCCATGCCCTTCAGCCTGTGGGACAGCGGGGTCACAGATCTCGCCATGAGGCTTCCCCGGGGCCCCTCTGCTTCGCCGTGCCCAGCACTCACTGCCAGCCTTCGAGTCCAGGTAAACCCACCCGCGGGACAGAGAAGGAGGCAGGCTGAATCTGCTTTCACCCTCTTTCCGGAAGACTTCCACCAAAGGAACAACCGTAGCATTTGAAGTAATACAGAGGTGGGATTTTATTACTAAATACCATGTGAGTATACAAAATGAATAATTGAATAACAGCTAAAAAAAAATAGTCCAAGAATGTGAAATACACATTTTTTGAAATGATAAAAATGCATCCATGAAAAATATAAAATGTTGCATATATATACAATATATACTTATATATATATATAACATACATGAAAATTGTAAATAAGAAATGTGTACATTGGTGAACAGGCATGGAGGTTATTTTATACAGCAGCCACTGTATTCCAATCAATCAGCTCTGTTATTTACAACTTGGATTGAGGAAATCCATGAAACAGAGGAGTTTCCACTATGGTAACATTTAAAAACTGTTTGCATTGAAAATCAAAAGAGTTTTCAAGTTAATTGCCCAAAGGGTAAGGGATCCTCGGTCTGGAAGTTGATGGAAGAGCCAAGAACAGAAGCTGGACAAGGGTCAAGCCAGCTTTGGGGAAGAGGGTCCACTTCCACCATCTGAATGGCCAACCAGGAGATGGACCAAATGCACGGGGTTCAGAGAAGGAGACTGGCTATGGGAACGTTGGCCAGGACGACATGGTTTCTGGTCGGGCAGGTGCAGGCAGGAAGTCCAGAGTCGATTCAAGCATGAGATGGGGTCCAGGTCGGGACACCCCCAGGTCCCCTCATGACCTTGGCATCTGCTCCTTTCCTGACCTTGGCATCTGCGGGTCTGTGATGGGAGAGTCTCTTTTCTCAGGGAGGGCGTTCAAGTAACAGCACTGGGGCATGAGGAGAGGTCATGTGTGGCACGGGGCCGCTTCCCAGGGGGCTCCTTGCCCGGAGCCTGCCCCAAGGGGTCCGAGGGTGCAGAGGCTTGGGCCTTACAGCTCCTTAAGGATGATCTGAATCTTTCCGTCCAGCTCCCCCATGTCCAGCAGGAAGGCGACATGGTTGCTGTAGTGCTGAATGATGTTGTTGTCCATGTTGACCAAGATTCTGGAAGAGAAGAAGGGATGCGTCTAGAATGTGGCAGATCCCTTGTTTTCAGGGCTTCTGGGTGGCAAGGATGACAGCCTCCCCAAGTGGCCAAGCCACACCTCCAACGTGGCCGCTACTGTGCCGGTCTGCCTCTCCTAATACGCACTAGTGTGGACACTTCGAGCAGCTGGCGTGAGGCGTGTGGAAGGTGCGGTGCTCCTTAGTCACCAGGCCAGACTGAAGACGTGGACACAGTGAGAGTTCGAGCACAAGAGGTGTGGTGGGTGGACCAGCGTGGTTTGGGGTCAGTAGGAGGCTGCGGTGTGCCACTTGGGTGTGCCTGCCTGAGCCAGAGGCAGGTGCCACATGAGTCCCCTGTCCGTTCCACCCCCAGGAAGCTGAAATCTCGCAGATGGTACAAGAGACCTGAGGGGCTGGGTCCTCTCTCCCCACACTCTCAGGCAGGGACCTGGGCCAACCTGCGCGGGACAAAGCCTCCGTGCTGTGGCCGCCCGCACAGGCTCGAAGCCACAGGGTCCCCTCTAGCTGCTGCCGCCCTGATGGAGAGCCCAGCAAGATGTGACCTGACCTGACCACGTCAGCTTCCCTTTGTAATGGGATTGGGTGTGTCTTTCCCTCCATTCATCCATCTCCCCCACTAGCATTTGGCAAGGCCACTCCACGGGCAGGGCCCTGCTCCAAACGAAAGCAAGGGCCACCCAGAGGCCCGAGACCCTGCCCTCCAGGAATTTAGAATCTAGTAGGGCCTGAGAAAATGAATCTATATAACCCTATTACTCCAGGTGGTAGACAGGGAAACTGAGGCTCAAAGAAGTAGCATCATTTGCCGGGGGTCGCACAGGTAATAGCTGGCAGAACTGGGACTTGAACCCAGACTTTGGTCTCTTTCCACTGTACCATTTTTTTTAGAGAGAA